GTTACATCCAACACTGTAGCTGTTACATGCAACACTGCAATTGTTACATCTAACACTGCAGCTGTTACATGCAACACTGCAGCTGTTACCTCCAACACTGCAGTTGTTACATCCAACACTGTAGCTGTTACATGCAACACTGCAATTGTTACATCTAACACTGCAGCTGTTACATGCAACACTGCAGCTGTTACATCCAACACTGCAGCTGTTACATGCAACACTGCAGCTGTTACATGTAATACTGCAGCTGTTACATGCAACACTGCAGCTGTTACATGCAACATTGCAGCTGTTACATGCAACACTGCAGCTGTTACATGCAACACTGCAGCTGTTACATCCAACACTGCAGCTGTTACATGCAACACTGCAGCTGTTACATGCAACACTGCAGCTATTACATCCAACACTGCAGTTGTTACATCCAACACTGCAGCTGTTACATGCAACACTGCAGCTGTTACATCCAACACTGCAGCTGTTACATCCAACACTGCAGCTATTACATCTAACACTGCAGCTGTTGCATGCAACACTGCAGCTATTAGATCCAACACTGCAGCTGTTACATGCAACACTGCAGCTGTTACATCCAACACTGCAGCTGTTACATGCAACACTGCAGCTGTTACATGCATCACTGCAGCTATTACATCCAACACTGCAGCTATTACATACAACACTGCAGCTGTTACATGCAACACTGCAGCTATTACATCCAACACTGCAGCTATTACATACAACACTGCAGCTATTACATGCAACGCTGCAGCTATTACATCCAACACTGTAACGACTGCACGCAGCTCATGTGACTGATCGCTGTGTTTGCACGCTCTCACCCAGGTGCTGAGCATGGAGATCGAGCGGCAGGCACAGGAGAAGACGCTGCTGGGCTATCAGGACATCCTGCAGAACCAGAAGGCTGAGATCATGTCACTGAAGGCGCAGATCGAGCAGGGTCAGCTCGTGCAGAACGCACTTGATGAGTACGTGTTCTCATCTCCGGCTCCTCTCTCTCTCGTCTCTGTGTTCTCGTCTCTGCGCATACTCGTCCCTCTGCATCGGCGCCTGTCATCGTGAGGCGTGCGTGCGTGCGTGCGTGCGTGCGTGCGTGCAGCCATCCATCCATTCCTGTATGATGCCCACGTGCTGTTTTTGCGACTATTATTATTATTATTAATATTATTATTTATTATTATTATAACTGTCTTGGCAGGGAGCGGGAGCACAGTGCGCGGCTGCAGCAGGAGCTGGACACGCTGCGGCAGAACCACTATTATTATTAATATTATAGCTCCTGCTGCAGCCGCGCACTGTGCTCCCGCTCCCTGCCAAGACAGTTATAATAATAATAAATAGGACACGCTGCGGCAGAACCACTATTATTATTAATATTATTATTTATTATTATTATAACTGTCTTGGCAGGGAGCGGGAGCACAGTGCGCGGCTGCAGCAGGAGCTGGACACGCTGCGGCAGCACCAGGAAGACGTGGCCGATCGCGCGGTAGCGATGCGCAGCAAGGAGCGTGAGCTACTCGGCTTTACCGAGAAGGTGACGGCGAAGAACGCACAGCTGCAGTCGCAGCGCAGCGCCGTCGACGCCAAGGTCAGTGCTGCCGATGTCAAGGTCGGAGTCGGGCGCGGTCGCAACGGTGAAGACGACGGGAACAGGCGCGCAAAATGCGACGGCCGGGATAAAAAAAAAGTCCTCGGATGACGAAAACCATCAAATTGCAAAGAAGTATAACAAAAACGAGGACAAAATGAGAAAAAAAACGACGGCAGACGACAAAGAACGAGTGTTGGGGAAAATCTCTGAAAGCAGTCAAAATGTCAAAAACCCTAGTAACGATTCTTGGCGGTACATTTCGCTGCAGAGTGAGTATGATGTACTGCAGGTGCATGTCGAGCATTTGTCGAATTAGGACTTGGTTTATTAAATCTGATGCTTGTTTTGTGTGCTGCCAGGTTTTTGCTATGGCTTCAGACGTCGAGAGGCTCACAAAATTCAGCAATGGCTTGCAAAATGAATGTAAGAAGCTGGTGAGTTCAATGCTAATAAATCAGATATGGTCTAAATATACAGGTGTTGGATATAATAATAATAAATAATAAATAACAATATATAATAAGCGCTAATGTCATTGTACTTCAGATGTGTTCACGATGATTGTAAGTTACACTCTTAAGTTAGCAAGAAAACACGTCACTCATGTCTCTTGCTCATCCGTGGATTGTTTACCACATTCGTCTTGATTTCCGGCGTATTTACAACCAATTATTTTTTTTAATTTACATCAGTGATAGTTGCAAAAATAAGTGTTGTGTAACAATGTGTGTTTATTATGAGTAACAAGCCACATATATAACTCCTATTGCATTTTCATCGCGTGTTTATTGAGTGTACGTCATTTTTTCCACTGAGTGTATGGAATGGAAATTTTGTGTGTAGGAGAAGGAGCTGGGAGAGGAGACACGGAAGAGGGTAGAGGAGACGAGTGAGCTAACGCTGCAGCTACAGGAGAAGACCACTTTAGTGGAGCAGCTACACACGAGGGTTAAGGATGAGGAGAACGAAAACAAAGTCCTAAAGAAGAGGCATACACTGGCTCTTAGGGTAATGTTAGCTGCATGGGCTAATTTACTATCGTACACTTGCAGGCTATGTTGCCAGTTGCTTTCATACTTGTGTAAATTGCTGTCCCAGTTTCAGCATTTTGCTGTTGGTTTTTGTGCATTTATTATATTTTCCTTGTCGTTATTATCCTTGTTAAGTTCATAATCATCTACAAGCAGTCCCAGTAGTAACAAGCAGTAAACGGCTGCTAATGATCTAGTATTTATCAACATGATCTAGTATGATCTAGTATGATCAACATGATCTAGTATTTATTCTCTCAGTCAGCCACACAGTCTGGCATTTACAGATGTGGCAAATAAATGTGAGTTCCAGGAAACAGTACCTGCAAAAACGTGATCCGTGTGTGTGTGCCCCACAAAGCACTGCCAAACAGCAACAGCTGCAACATGTATAATTTCTACAACTTGTGGTCATTATAAACAGCACGTGCGGGTCCTATTAGTCATTGGTGGGCTCAGAGCCAAACATAAGAGTGCCTGACAGCACCTGTGAATTCTGGAGCACGTTGTCAGAAACATTGTAAATAGTTACAACTATCATTATAATCAGATTATAGTCCAAATTGTCATAACTCTTTCTCGACATAATATTAATTAAACTATAATACATAATTTTTTTGTTTATTATTTTTAAGTAGTAATAGTATGTAAAAATACAAATTAAAATGTAAATAAATAATAATATAATAGTTTTTTATTTAAAAAACTAATCAATAACTTCGACATCATCGTACATACACATGCAGCTTCCAACGGCGGATCCTAGGTGGCTAACATAACGGTGATTGTTCGTGTTGTTTATAGGACTTGCAGCGTGAGCTCATACACTATCGCCGCCGCGCCGACGAATCGGGGAGCGTCGCAGACAGAGATCGTATGTCCGGTTCGCTGGCCAGCTCGACGGGGTCGCTTGACACGGCAGGCAAGCACGCGGGCGGCGTGAGGGCGAGCGCGAGCACACCGAGCGTCGCGCGCGAGTCGCCATCACTGCTCGAGGTACACGATAGCTGCTGCGCACGCACACACTCGTGTGCGTGTGCGTGTGCGTGGGCGTGTGTCTGCGTGTACGTAACGTGTGCGTGTGTCTGCGTGTGTGTGTGAGTGTGAGAGTGTGTGGGTGTGTGTGTGTGTGCATGCATGTATGTGCGGGCGTCCGTGTACGTGTTTGCCTGCGTGTGCGTGTGTGTGCGTGCATTCATGCATGTGTGCGTGAGCGAGCGCGCGTGCGTGTGTGTGCGTGCGTTCATGCGTGAGTGTGAGCGACCGCGCATGTGTGTGTGAGCGACCGCGCATGCGTGTGTGAGCGAGCGCGCATGCGTGTGTGAGCGAGCGCGCATGCGTGTGTGTGCGTGCGTTCATGCGTGTGTGTGCGTGCATTCATGCATGTGTGTGTGAGCGAGTGCGCATGCGTGTGTGTGCGTGCGTTCATGCGTGTGTGCGTGCATTCATGCATGTGTGTGTGAGCGAGCGCGCGTGCGTGTGCGTGCGTTTATGCGTGTGTGTCCGTGCCTTCATGCATGTGTGTGCGAGTGTGCATACGTGTGTGTGTCCGTGCGTTCATGTATGTGTGTACGAGTGCGCGTACGTGCGTGTGTCCGTGCGTTCATGCATGTGTGTATGAGTGCGCGCGCGTGCGTGTGTGTGTGCATGAACGCACGGACACACGCACGTACGCGCACTCGTACACACATGCATGAACGCACGGACACACGCACGTACGCGCACTCGTACACACATGCATGAACGCACGGAGTGCTGCGGCGACTCCTCCTCCTGTGTGACAACGTGGGAGACAGGGAAAAAATTACTTTTACTTTGTTTTCACGGGAGCTCTTTTTCAAGAGTCTGAGGTAAAAATAGCTCTCGTAAAATGTTTGACAGGAGCGATTTTGAGCCTCACGGGAGCGATTTCGGAGGTTTGAAGAGCGAATCGCTCATCGCTCCCGTGTATTTTTTACCCTGGCGGGAGAGAGAAATGTGATCACACACACGTATGCATGAACGCACGAACACACGCACGTACGCGCACTCGTACACACATGCATGAACGCACGGACACACGCACGTACGCGCACTCGTACACACGACGCACACACGCACACAGATATACTGCATCGGGGGGGGGGGGGTTGTCTCACCGGGACTTGCGCTGGTTCTCGTCTGTCAGCTGGCGGATGTGGTCCTCCAGGAACTCTAGCTTATCGTTCTTGCGCGCGTGCGCCTTCTGCAGACGCACGATCTTGTGTATGAGGAGACGCTTGTCAACCTCCACCTCTGCGTACGTGTATAGGTGCGTGCGTGCGTGCGTCCGTGTGTGTGTGTTTGCATGTGTGTGCGTGTGTGTGCGTGCAAGCAGGTGAGCATGCATGTGTGTGTGTGTGTGTGTGTGCGCGCACATGTTACTTGCTTTTGTGTGCCCCTAATATCACTTCTATGTTACGCTCCACTGCATGAAACAATGATGTATGTTTGTTTATATGGTTCACATTGGAAAACCGGGAGACTCCTGAAAAAGAGGCTATTATAATGTTTGGTTTAAGTCCTAGAAATGAGCACATTGTCTATGTGTACGTGTTTCCATATTTCACCAGTGATAATAACTGAAGATACAGCCCTCTGTTTACTGGCTAAAACTTGTTTGAAGCTTGTCAACGAGATATTCGGTTTATTTTATTAAAAAAAATATTTTCTTCGGTTTAGATCTTGGTGTCCTGGAGGAAAAGTCAAGAAAAATGTCTTGGCATGAACCCTATATTACCCCCCCCCCCGCGCGTGCTCCCATGTTGCCCACTCTCATTCATGTCCACTTTGGCTGTCACTGTGACACTGCGGTATAGCATCACTGAGGGATGGGGAGGGGACCTGTAAGCTTGATGCTGTCATTTCGCTTATAAGAGGAACTAATATGGTTCGTTCAGCATTATCTCATGCAGGATAGACGGCTCGGTAAATCGCGTAGTGGTCTAAAGGGCCGGACACACTAGGCGATTTTAATGCGATCTAATCGGGCGACTTTATCGCCCGATAATTCGCCGGCGAATGAGTCGGGCGACTGAGAGTGGACGCACTAGGCGAATATCAGCGCGATTCATCGGCGATTTTTCTCCTGCTGCAACGCTAAAACACTCGCGCCACCTAGATTGATAGTCACATGATTGAAAATGGCACCGTTTGATTGGCTGATTAATTGTACAATCGGGCGACTCATTCGCCGACCCGGACACACTACGCGATTGTAGTCGCGCGACTGAAATAATCGCCCGATAATATCAAAACGTTTTGATCGATGCGATCGAACCGGGCGATTAAATCAGCGGCAAATGACTGGACTCAATCGCCGGTGAAAATCGCCTGGTGTGTCCGGCCCTTTAACAAAAATCCATGATTGTTCAGCAGAGTTTAGGCGCGGGTAAACGGACCATGTAAATCAAGAATCTTTTTTAAACTCATTTGCCGCCACGTCACCGTTCCCCTTGGTTTTACTCGGATCATGCCTGCGCATCGCCTGTGCGTATCGTCCGTCCTCTGCTCTCCAGAACAGCAGCACTGAAGATTGTCTCTCTTAGCGAGTTGATCCTTCGAAATAAACTTTTAAAAATGTTCGTGGGAGTCAGGCGCACTCTGCGGCTGTTTTTTGAGTGTGTCGTTATTTTCGTCTAGGATCATACAGTCGTACGTGGTGAGAGAGGAATCGGGAGCTCTTACCTCCGAGATCAGTGATACTATCAAGGTAAGTAAAGCTGGGAGTCTGTAGGCAGATGGATGAAAACACCTATTGGCCGCATCCATCGGTTTTGTTTTAGTAGAAATTTTTGTTTTGGTTTTACAGAGTTATCTAGACAAATATTTTTGTCGTGCCCAGTTGTTCCCATGCAGCCAATCATCTGCCCTGGCTGTTTTCCTTTATATATCAGGTTTCTAGTTTTTGGAAGAGTGAAATCAGTTGAGAGCTAACCAAATCATCACTGCTTTCTCCTGAGTGAAACGAAACAGAATTGTTTTATTTATATCACGAGTATAGAATTCTTCGCGATTCTTAATGTAGGTGATGTACTGTTTCTGGTAAACCACTACGGCATGTCACTTCAATCTTATGCGTAATTTGACTGTTTACATCACTGGGTGCTCCTCTTAGTGTATCCCACTTTGGCACCGCCCTTGCATGTACATGTGCAAATGTTCGTGCTACATCAAACTCTTCTGGGCCAGGCAGTGAACCGGTGTTTACAGACGCAAAATACTGAATCCGTCCAAAGTCTAGCTACGTTACGCTGCGCATGCTCAGATTGGTGAGTCACGGCACACTGCGGCAATGCAGCAGTAAGGGGCAATTTAACATGCTTTGTCGCCCGCCTGGCCCACCTAAATTTTTGGGAACTATCTTAGTCGGGATTAGCACGTATTACTTTCAAGATAGATCAAGATCAAGCACATACACACTGCGATATTTTAGTTCTATGTAAAATCAAGCAGGCTGTCTGTGCGGGTTGGTTGTTAGTGGACACATCATTTACAGATACAGGTAGAACCTCGTAATACTCGTAGAACTAATTCGTAATGCGATGTTCTGGCAGATTCGATGGTTAGGAACGATGATTTACCTCTGGGCCGAACGTTAGTTTTATCTACTAATCTACTTATTTTGTGTGGCAGTGTAGCCAAATTGTGTCATATTGCACTTACAGTGTAAGTGATACCAATAATTACTGATACCGATACAACTTACCAGAAGCATAAACTTAGCCCATGCTTAGTGGACTGCTTTACGGCAAAGCGTAAGTCTTACACTTTGCCGTAAAGCAGTCCAGTAAGCATGGGCTAAGTTTATGCTTCTGTGGAGCTGCAAAGGTATCAGCAATAATGCAGGATGTGCATTATTTTGCCTCTTTAACCTCATCTTCGATCGTTTGGACTTGTTACTGATCCGGTTCTGGTGTGATGCCAGGCTTCGTGGATTATTGATGCGCAGCTTTTATATAGGTAACGTTGAACACCGGTCGTTCTGAAGCAGAGTGGTGAGGCCTCTGTGTTTATAACAGCTGCGCAACAGCAGCGGCGGCAGCAGCAGCTTGATAAATGTCTGAAAGCGTCATCTGAGTGGTTACACTTCGGACTGGATTAGACACGCAATGCATATATTCAGCTATGAATTATTAATGCGTTTATCCGCCACGGAAGCAAACATTTCTAGCGTTAGCCCACTCTGCAGAGAATTCGGTTATACATATGTATATATATATATATATATATATATATATATATATATTATATATATATATGCCGAGGAGGAAGATGGAATGGTCTGTTGTGTGTACATGGCAGTTACCTCACCAATTAAATGCAGGCTATTGTGGCAGTGCATCAATGATAATTATGCAATCAATCGTAATGACTTGATTACGATTGCTGATGGTAGTGCGCTGTTAATGCGTCGGTGACCTAATGTAGTCAGATATCAAGGTTCACCGCACCTGACTAGCTAATATGTTAGGTTAGTCGTTGTTGCAGGGGTCGTGTTGACAGAGATGTAGGGTCAGGCGTGGGTTTCTAGCTGCTAATGCTGCCATCGGTCAACGCTCTCAGTAAAAGCTGGCGAGCGTTTCATCAACTAAAATTTCATTTTGTATTCCATAAATCATCGACTTTTCGTCAGGCGTGAATATAAAGTCATTTGTTTCTTTATTCACTCCTTTATCTGTGATTGAACAACGGGATTGTTGGTCAGCGGTGTTGTGTATAAAACCCGTGTTGGGAACACTCGCCCATTTAGTTTTGCAGTAAGATTGCTTGCACAGTGGTCCCCGCTTTATTGAGACAGGTCGGCACCTGATAAAATGTCCCGATTAAACGGTGGTCCCGAAACACAACGACGTGCGTAAGGTATGCTTTTCAAAGACGTCGTTTAAGCGATGCGCCCCTTTATCCGAGGCTATAGATACAGCGGGGACCACTCTTATATGATTACTTGGGAATTAAATCGCATTACGCTGCCCATATATATATAGCAGAAAAAATGCTTTCGTCGGATGTTTTAGTTGGATGTTAACAATTCACTCCTCTCTTGTTTCTTCTTTTCTGCTTTACGTATCATGTCATGAGCAGCCAGCCTCTACTAAGGTACGGTCCGTAAATGTACGTACTCATTTAGCTGTCGTAACCATCTATACCCTAAACCCGGTCAACTTGGTATGTGCGGTGCATGTGTCGGACATACGATATTTTGCTGTTTTTAACAATTACAGCAAGTGATACTTGTTACTAATTTCGTGTGCATGACTTTATTTCGGTGTATGTGAAAATTATGTGGATCTCTTTTGACCTTCACGATTTATCCGCGCTTAGTATCGTTACAAATCGTTTTTAACATCAAATGTAAATTTTTCTAATTTACCCATAATTTGATTGTGTTATGCACGGGAGATTTATCGTGGCTGTCCAGACGAAAGGCCGGACATTAATTTAAAGCGGTCGTGTTTTTTCGTAGCTAGTTGATGTTTTTCCATGCGCCTGTTGTCAGAAATATCGAAAATGCTTATGTCTATCGTGAGTTTAAATTATAGTGACGTTTGCTCAACTCTTCGCTTCAAAAGTTATGACATTTTAAACTTATAATGTCAGAACTACTCGCCATGCGTCTGGCAACGGGTTCCGTGTGAATGCCACCAGGTGAAATGCTGTCAGCGTGTTACTCAAACGTGTTGTGACGTACTACTAGTATCGCATATCGTCTGGATCACAATACACGTATCTCCGTGTAGCGTATGTCCGTGTATCTCCGTTATTACTTACAATGTGCTTGTAACCGTGCGTGCATGTGTGTGTGTGTGTAAATAACATGCAAGTAATTGTGATCGTGTGCATGACCTATCGGCTTAAAAATGAGTCTCTAACATTGATTTTTGTCATTGATTTGCTACTGAGAAAGGTTAACGATCGTAAACCGCATTTTCTTATTCTCTTTTCCGAGACGTAATTGAGATTCCGACATTCGCCGATGCTTCGGAAATGCTTTCCGACATTCGTCCCCGTAGCTAGCGGTAGGGAGGGGGTGCAAGGGGCACGCATTTCCAGGCCGATGTTGATGCTACTATATAATCAGTATAGCCAACGGAGAACTGCTTAGGTCTCGAACCGCGCGTGGCTTCCTCTTCAAGCCGAATGAGCTACGCCTCCGTTGATATACATATCATCAAGAGTCCGTATATAATAGAATATATTCTATTATGCACTCTTGGTATCGTCGTAGAGCGAAAGAATGGCTGCGCGTACAAAGGCGTTCCGTGTGTGAATACTTAGTGTTCGCTTCTTTAGATAACATGCTTCCACCCCTCACCCCAGTGCCCGCCCCAACCCCCACCCCACTCCTTCATCCCTCACCCCAAGCCGCCCCCTATCCCTCCTCACCCCTCACCCATCACCCCAGCCGCCCACCCCACTCCTCACCCTCGACCCCAGCCTGTCCAACCCCCACTCCTCACCCCTACACCAGCGTCTGCCCAACCCCCACCCCTCACCCCTCACCACCTCACCCTCACCCCAGCGCTCCCAACCCCCACTCCTCACCCCATCACCCAGCTGCTTCCCAACCCCTCACCCCTACATCCCTCACCCACAGCACGCTCAACGCCCACCCCTCATCCGATGCACCGCTCACCTCAGCTCAGCCGCGTACCAACCCCCACTACCTCGCCTCATACCCCAGCTGCTCCCAACCCCAACCTCATCCCTGCACGCACAGCCGTCCAACCCCACCCCTCATTCCTCACCCAGCCTGTCCCAACCCCCTACCCTCAATCCTCACCCCAGCTGTCCCAACCCCACCCGGGATCCTCACTACAGCCTGTTCCAACCCCTACCCTCATCCTCCTCCTCCACCACAAGCGCGCTTCCCAACCCCCACCCCTCGTGATCCCTACCCAGCTGTCCAACCCCCACCTCTCATCCCTACAACACAGCCGTCCCAACCGCCCAACCCTCACTCCTCACCACAGGGCACGTTCCCTAACCCCCACCCCTACATCCCCTCACCCAGTCACCCCTTCACCCTAGCTTCAGGCGCTGCCCAACCCCCACTTCTCGCCCCTCACCCCAGCTGTCCCAACCCCACCCTCTATCCCTTCACCCAGCCGTCCAACCCCCACACCCTCATCCCTCACCACATGCGCGTCCAACCCCTCACCCTCATATCCCTCACCACAGCCGTCAACCCCACCCCTCATCCCTGCACCCTCACCCCTCAGCCCCTTTCAGCTCAGCCGTCCAAACCCCCACTCCTCGCCCTCACCCAGCTGTCCCAACCCCCCACCCCTTCATCCCTCACCACAGCGCTCCCTAACCCCACCCTCATCCCCTCACCCCAGCTGTCCAAACCCCACCCCTCATCCTCACCCAGCTGTCCCAACCTCCACCCCTCATTCCCTCACTACAGCCGTTCGCAACCCTACCCCTCATCCTACTCCCAGCCCGTCCCAACCCCTCACCCCTCACCACAGCCGTCCCAACCCTCACCACTCACCCTCACCCCTCACCGCTGCTCTTCACCACTACCCCCTACTCAAGCCGACCCCACCACCACCACCACCCCAGCCCATCCCCCGGGAAGGTGAGTCGTAAATGAGGATTCGCGCTCGCATTCAAAACCTCATAGTTCACTCATTGTACGCGCCGGCGCCGACGTGTGAACGACTCCTGCCGGCAGTGTATACCGCTGAGCTTTTGCTCAATGATGGAGAGATTCTCTATCGAGTGTACGTCGCAATTCGTTACACCTCCCCGACGCGTGTGTCCGTGCTTTCAGCATAATGGCTGCATATTTTAGCGTTCTCGCTGCTCGTGCGTCGTGCTAATGAATGAACTGACATTTCAATGGCAATCCGTGGAGCCTTTCTGTTTAAATGTCGACTGCTAATCTATAAATGGCGCGCGCGCCGGCAGTTAGTCACTTTCCGTGTAGTTCCCTAGCATTGTAATAGTGCTCGTGATACGGGGAGTTGAACTTTTGCGTCCATCAACAGTCCGGCCCTTGTTGATCGATACTGTTCTGCCATGTTCAGTTACAACGCCGCATGTTGACGGGTCAGTGTGCTGAAAATTGTTGACATTAATTGGTTCGTGTCTTTCAAGTCGGTAGCTTATCGAGTTGACATCACAACAATGTCTTACAAGTCACCGAGCCTGAGTTAACAATATCCGCTAACTTTCCTCGCTCCGCGCGAGTTGAGCCATTCGGTATATGCAGTGAAGTAACTCAACCCTGTTTCCGGCTCGAATAACATAGAAGAACTGTCTCTCCTTTCATAATGCTTTATATTCCCCTCACCCAAAATGTTTCCCAAAAGGCATCATGTCTCTTGTATCTCTAATGTGGAACGTCTTAAGAGAAAACGTAGCGGAACGAGGAAGAATTCTAGGGGATAATGCCAGTGGATGCCAGTAATTTTGCAGTGCACAGAGCCGCTCAGTTAGCTAACGAGTTATAGCTGTGATTCATTTGGAAATCAAGACTTCAATGTAAGAAAGATACCATTGCCTTTGGGAATACATCTGCGTGGCGTTGTGTCCCGCTAGCAACACGCACGCACGTGATGCTAGGCTAGGTGTGTGAAATCGCATCCAGACCCAATCTCAGTGTAGAGCGGATTGTATCAGAACACCTATATAGCTTCGATCGTACGCGCAGATGATGCACACATAG